TGCTTATTTGGCATTTATGTCCTCACACCCTCCTGAGCTGAGCAAGCAGCAAGCACCCTGTTCTTTGAATGGGCTGGGATCTTTCTCCTGGCAGTTCTCTGCTTGCTGCAGGTAGTCAAAGCAGGCCTGCGAACATCAGTCCTCAGGGCAGAGATCTTCACTGCCCCTCCGGTACGGCTGTCTCCCTCTGGCGCTGACTGAACTGGTGGAACAGGTTGGCACCCCCTTTTTTCAATTTGGGAGTGGAAGTGGCCCTCCGCCCTTGGAGATGCCCTACTGAGCATATGTGACACAAAGCAGCCCTCTGTTCACACCCTACATGCTATGGTAAGAATCTTTGTATGAAATATGCCTTGTGAGGTACCATTTGAAAAGGAACAACTCTCTGGTCAATAAGATCATGTTGCAACGTCACATATAGAGTTATGAGTTCCCCCTCTACGACATTATTTGTGGAAACTCGACAGCCCCTCCTAGGCAAACGTTGTTCAAAAGGTCTGTCCTAAACAAAGGAATGGGGGTTTATATAAGCAGCAAACAGGGTCCTCAAGAAAGCAGAGGAAGGAGATGGTGCAGAACAGGGCAATTTACATTTCAGCAAACACAAGTGGGGGGAGAAAAGAAGAGCACATGTGATGTTGACAGACCCTGGTTATTGGCAGGCAGGATCAAACCTGGGACCTCTGGAGCTTAGTACAGGAGCCGCTACCGCATGAGCTCAGAGCCGACTGGCTGTTAGCTAAGGCTGTAGAGCAGACTCATTTCACTGTCTCTAAATGGTCTCGGTGCCACGCGAGAGGACAGAACCCCACACCCAGGAGGTGTGTGGGTTACATACTTCCCCTCGCTGAGGAAGCACGTCAGGAAGCTCGCTCAGTAAGTGGTCTTGGTTCCACTAGATGGGACAGGACACCTCACCCAGGAGCTGTGTGGGTTACACATGGAGCCTTCACCACCAGACTTCAGGTCGCCTTCCTCACAGCTTGGATAAACTTTGCTTTGAGGGGTGTCCTGTAGAACAGTGGCTCTCAACCTTTTCCGTCTACTGTGCCCCTTTCCGGAGTCTGATTTGTCTTCTGTACCCCCAAGTTTCACCTCACTTCGAAACTACTTGGTTACAAAATCAGACATAAAATACAGATGGGTCACAGCACACTCTTACTGAAAAATTGCTGACTTTCTCCTTTTGTCTGTACGAAATGTTAGTTTGTACTTATTTCGCTCGTGCTTTTTATGTAGCCTGCTACAAAACAAGGCAAATATCTGCAGGAGTTGCTGTATTCCCAAGAAGACCTCTGTCTACCCCGTACCCCTGTCTAAACCACTGCTTTAGAAGAATCAACTTCCAAGAGTCAATGGACTATAAAAGGAAGGGGCAGACAACCCCACATTCTTTCACCTAAGAAAACAAAAACACCAGCACCTTTGGGCCCCTTAAAGAGAGCCTGAGCAAGGGGAGAGCCAGTCACCATTTTGCTGCGAGACTGTGCATGAGAGAAACCACCTTGAACAGAGCCTGTGTCTTGCTAGATTAAGTTTTAGACCTTTTAAAGTGCAGCTTGTTTTGTTTTACTTGTAACTCTTTCTATCTGCATTCCTTATACTTGACTTCGATGACTCCTATATAGGTTTTGTTAATAGACTCATTTCAGTTTCAGTTTTACCCTAAACTCAGGGCTGCGTTTCAAGGGAAGAGTCTAGTTACCCCCATTTAAGTTAATAAGCTGTGAAGGGCTTTGGTGTCTTTAAAGGAAGAAACAAACCATACGATTTCTCTGGACTGTCCATGGGTTGAGGAAAATCCAGGACTGGGTGTGTGTTGGGGTCACCCTGCATGTAGTAACCGAGGCTGGTAGAAGCCAGAGTGGGGCTGTAGACAGGCTACTGGGGTCAGAGCTGTGGAACCAGGCCGCCTGGCACACAGAAACTCAGGGGGTGACCCGCTTGCTGGTATGCTGGTTGTGAGTGGCCCAGGTTGGGAGCTACAACAGCAAAGCATTGTGAGGCACCCACAGTTACAGGGAAGATGGTGACACAGCCCCTCGCTGGTCTGGATTTGTACCCTGAACCAGAAAGACCGTGACAGCACGTCCCAAAGGTTTGTGAACTTCCCCCCCTCCATTAGTACCAGGCTAGCTGGAGCCAGTATCCAGCTGCCTCACTCCTCTGGCAAAAAGAACAAACCATCCTGTATGACTGTTTAAAGGAACAGTGACAGATGCATGGGTTACATGCACACATGGGAAGAGGCCCTGGGAAAGGAAGCCAGGGCGGTCTGGGATATGGGAGAGGCAGACCAATTGTTTGGGATCCCAAGGCCTGAAGTAGACGGTGGGTGGGTGTTCCCCCTATGCTGCCCCATAACAAGGGCAACATTGGAGCCCAGGAGGGCTGGATGCTGGAGCCAACTGAGGGGCTGAAGCCAGCTGGGGAAAGGACAGACCCTCAGAGGAAGGGCTGGGCTGGAAGATGGGGTTTGGCATTTTCCTTTGGACTCTGATTGACTCCGACTGCGGTGAACTCTGTGACTTGGCTATGTCACCCCGGTGCAGCAGTGCTCCTACATGAGAACCCCACAGCCACTTGCCAGCCTGTGGATAACTTCTGAGAGGGGAAACTGAGGCAGAGGCTGGGCCTGCTGTCAGACTGGGTAGATTCCTATGACTGGAGAGAAGACCTGAATTTCTCATGTAAACCCCATGAACAAGCAGAACCACCCCCAGCCCCAAAACATACATTTTCCACCTTTCTGGAGCTCCCCCACCCTTTGCCCTTTGCAGGGGTGAACTGAGACAGCCATCACCACCGGCTGTGCACCGCTTGTCTCCAAGGCTCTTTGAGACGGTCATAAGCAGACCTGAGGTGTTACTTTTGACGCTGCTAGCATGGCTCCCTTTTGTTCAGCCTGAGCCTGACTGGCAAGGACTGGGGGATCTGGTGTGGCAGCCAAGGAATGTGCCCTTAAAGGCTGCTAAGAGGTTGGGGGAGCAGCTATGACAGAGGAGCAGAGTGCTTTGAACCCAGCTGCTTTTAAGCCGGCAGCGAACTCAGCTTCCCTGCTGCTGTTGCTGCTTCGTATCGTTCCCGCTTGGAAGCACTAACTGGAGCGATGTCGATGCTGAACATGAGGGTAGAGCAGGAGCAAACATCCCGAGCCTGTAAGCACGGACTTCTCTCCCAGCAAGGAAACCAAGGGTCAGATCGTCAGCCCGCAGAAATCAGCATGCCTCCACCAGCTGAGGCCCTGGCCCCAAATCTTTCCTGACTGCTAGGAAGCTACAACAATTGGAAAAGCGAAGTATCCCATGTTGTATCAGAAATTCACCTGAGGAGCTACACATTGCGCTCGATTTGGAGCCCTGCAGCACAAAACACCACCCCTTAAGCTAGAGCAGTACCTCCGTCAGCTGGCTCCAGGACAACACCCACACTGGTCTGCTTTGACCGTGGTGGAGAAATAATATTTATCTCTATGTTAAAAGAGTAATAGGTAAAGCAAAGCGTCACTCCCCGAACTCCTGCTTTTAATACACTCCTCTGGAAACGACTAACCCTCTTTTAATTGGATTTGATTTTTGCAGAGACAAAATGAATACAAGAGCAAAGGGGGAAGCAGAGAGCTGCAAACAAACCTGGCTGAAAGGATCCGTTCCCATGACTCTGAACAACCTTCGTCCTATGAATTTCTGGGTTTTAACCCCATTTGATGGCTCTTCCCCAACCTCAGATCTCAACTGTAGGGTCGTCTCTTATTTCCCTATGTTGCTTTTTATTAAACGCCACACCTGGGGCTGGATGTTAAAGGTGGATATTTAGGTAGCCACATGAAATGGGTTGGAGGGTTTCGGGGACCAGGGAACCAGGGCCCCATTGTCCCCTCCCAGTTATTTGTGGGCTGAAGCCAGCCCCTGCAATCACAGATCTCCTCTCCCAAGAGCAGGAGCTCAGGGCAGCAGCAACAGGACGATGGTGGAGGAGGCATCTTCACAGCCTCCTGGACCCAAAAGGGTGGCACCAAATTCTGCTTTCTACCTGTGCACTCTGGAGACTGTTTCCTCTCTACTCATTGGCTGTTTGTGGCAACATCCTCTGAACCATCTCCCGCTGCCAGCCTCACTCTCCTGCCCTCCCTGCTCCTCCCTCCTTCCTTCCCTCCTCATCATTCCCCCCTCCCCACACTGTCATGTCCCTTTCTTCCTAGTCATCGATCCCAAGGCCAGAAAGAAGCAGTGTGATCATCTTGTCTGACCTCCTGTACAACACAGGCTAGACACCTGCCCCCCGATAGTTCCTGGAGTAGATCTATCAGAAAAATATCCAATCCTGATTTTAAAATAGTCAGTGCTGGAGACTCCCCCATGACCCTTGGTACATTGTTCCAATGGTTAATTACTCTCACCATCAAAAGTTTACACCTTATTTCCAGTCTGAATTTGTCTAGCTTCAACTTCCAGCCATTGGACCATGTGACCCCTTTCTCTGCTAGACTGAAGAGCCCATGATTAAATATTTGTTCCTCATGTAGGTACTTGCAGACTTTGATCAGGTCACCCTTTAACCTTCTCTGTTAAGCTCAATAGACTCAAGGGGCTCAGTCTGTCACTCTAGCGCAGGGGTGGGCAAACTTTTTGGCCCGAGGGCCACATCGAGGTGTGAAACTGTATGGAGGGCCAGGTAGGGAAGGCTGTGCCTCCCCAAACAGCCTGGCCCCTGCCCCCTATTTGCCCCCTCCCACTTCCTGCTCCCTGACTGTCCCCCTAAGAACCCCCCACCCATCCAACCCCCCCCGTTCCTTGTCCGTTGACTGCTCCCTCCTGGGACCCTCCGCCCCAAACTGCCCCCCCCCGGGATCCCACCCTCTATCCAACCCCCCCACTTCCTGTCTCCTGACTGCCCCTCTGACTCCTATCCACACCCTCACCCCCTGACAGGCCCCCTGGGACTCCCACACCCTATCTAACCCCCCGTTCCCTGACCCCTGACCGCCCCAGAACCTCTGCCACATTGAACCATCCCCTGCTCCCTGTCCCCTGACTGCCCCCCAGGACTCCCTACCCAACCCCTCCCCCACTGCCACCCCGTTACCATGCCGCTCAGAGCGGCAGGAGCTCGCAGCCCCTCTGCCTGCGCGGTGGAGTAACTGCGGGGGAGGGGGAACAGCGGGGGAGGGGCCGGGGATGAGCCTCCTGGGCCAGGAGCTCAGGAGCCAGGCAGGACGGTACCACAGGCCACTGCAGTTTGCCCACCTCTGCTCCAGCACAGGTTCTCTAATCCTTGAATCATTCTTGAGACTCTTCTCTGACCCCTCTCCAATGCATTAACCTCCTTCTTGACACCAGTTCCCTCGCTCCTGTTAAATCCTCACCTCCTGCCTTCTCCCCTGGCCCAAAACATTGCCCCATGATCAGAAGGCTTTGCTTTCTCTAGGGCCTGTGCAGCCCAGGTCTCCAAGCCAGGGAGCAGCTGCCCAGAAGCTGGTGCTCACACCCAGATACAAATGGGTGGAGTTCCATATATGATCCACAGCCACTTTCAAATGGACCAACCAAGACATGCACGTTACAGCCCTAAGGGATCACACCAACATACCGTATCAATCCTCATTCTCCTTTCCCCACCCCCACTCCCACTCCCCCACCTCTCGTCGAGATCCTTAGGGCTGGAGATACTGGAGTCAAGCTGTGCAAACGCTTGACTCCAGGAGCACTGCACTGTCCAGAAGACCCCTGACAGCATTAAGCATTGTGCTTGGTGGACAGCGATTTCAGGATCAAGCTCTTGGATTGTATGGTGCTTGGGGCAGGGGCCTTGGCTGAGAGATTCAAAGGGCCTAAGGGAGTTGAATTTCACTGGGAGGGACCTTAGTTCCCTATAAGAGCCCCAGCCTTCATCTCTCTCATCTCTCTGTCTAGTACCAGCATTTTCTAGGGCACTGGGCAGATCGTAATAGAGCTGTGACTGATTGCAGAGTGGAGAAAGCCAGTCATTCTGTCTCAGCCGGTGCACATTGGCCCAGCCCCATTGACTGCAGTGGAGGTAAGCCGAATTCCCCCAGCGACAGATCTGGCCCCAGAGGGTTGAGGGAGTGCTAATGAGCGTTTCGCACCTCGGTTACAGACAGGTGTTGACTAGCAAAGATTAAAAGGTGGGTCTAGTTCGGAGAGTGGCTCTGTGGAACTGCTATAATTATCATCAAAGTCCGGGTTGGTTCAGCGTACAAGCCAGTGTCCACCAGGGATTTGAAAAACCAGCTGTGTTCTGTCCATCTCTCACATCCTCCTCTCTAGTGTAGATTTTGCAGCCAGAATTTAGCTACTGGTGACATGTGATGCAGAATGGAGTCCCCAGTCCTGGAGCCTCCGGTGTGTGGAAGGCCAGCGTCCAGCTGCCCCCATTCTCTTGGGGAAGGGGACAGACTCTTCCTTGCTTTTGCAAAGGGAAACCACAGCCTGGGGGGGGGGTGTTCCTTCCCAAGAAATATCCCTTGCAAGGAGAAGAACTGCAGAGCTGACCACACGGTGGTGCTTGGCTGTTGGCAGCAGAGCTTGCTAGTGCAATTCTGTCCTCTCGTCCATCCGTCCAAGGATCATTCCTAGGCAGGAATTGGGCGGGGCGGGGAGCCTTGTCTAGCTCCTCAGATCTTTGGGCTCTGCAGAGACTCCTTCAAAAGGCAGTGGGTCTCATGGAGTCAGCTAGCGAGAGATAAGCCCTGCTACGCAGAGATCAATAGCAGTCTGTGCACATGCCCCCCAACACACACCAATGGGCTGAGTAGGCACCAGAGACCTGAATCAAAGCATATAGCACTGGGAGGGATTATTCTAGGAGCCTATCAAGATGGAAGGAGTGTTAATGTATCTCCTACTGGGTCAGGGCAGGTGGTCTTTGCTGCTAGCCCACAAGATGCCTGTCAGAGCCCAAACATTGACGAAAGATCGGAGTTAGGCTTTTCCTTTCTCCCCCACAGGGTTTGCCAGCCCATAGGTGGTGCAGGAGGTCCCTATGATTCTCCCTGATGTGTCGATCTGCTGGATGTTCTGCGTCACCATGATGGTGACTTGCTTGTTGGCCATGCGGTTGGATCGCCACTTGGTCTGGAAAGGAAGGAGAGGGAAGGTTAATCATTGGTGCCATGCCAGTCCAGGCCCCCCAGCAATGGTACCAAGGCAGCCGGATGATTCCACGTGGCCGGAATGTAGCGTATTATGGAGAGAATTCAGCCAGACCAGTGGCCTCTTCTGGTTACAAACAAATAAGCAAAAGGTAGAGGTGCAGGGTGGGGACTGGAGATATTGGGGCATTGATAGGTGCTAATGGGATATGGAATCATATGGAATAAAGTTGGGTAGAAGGGACCTCAAGAAATCATCAAGACCAGTCCCCTGCGCTGAAACAGGACCAAGTAAACCTAGATCAGCCCTGACAGGGGTTTGTCCAACCTGCTCTTAAAAACCTCCAGTGACGGGGATTCCATAACCTCCCTTGGAAGCCTGTTCCAGAGCTGAACTCCCCGTAGAGTTAGAAAGTTTTCCTAATGTCTAACCTAACTCTCCCTTGCTGCAGATTCAGCACTTTGCTTCTTGTCCTGCCTTCAGTGGACACAACGAAGCATCGCTCACTGTCCTCTTGTAAGAGCCCTGAACAGATGTGAAGTCTGTTACCAGGTCCGTCCTCAGGCTTCTTTTCTCAAGACTAAACAGACCCAGTGTTTGTAACCTCTCCTCACAGGTGAGGTTTTCTCACCCTTTGCTCATTTGTGTTGCTCTCCTCTGGCCTCTCTCCCATTTGTCCACCTCTTTCCCAATGTGCGGCCCCCAGAACTGGACATAGTTCTCCAGCTGAGGCCTCCCCAGTGCTGAGCAGAGTGGGACAGTTATCTCCTGTCTTACATGGGACATACCTGTCAATACACCCCAGAAGGATATTAGCCTTTTTCACAACTGCATCACATTGCTGACTCGTATTCAGTGTGTGACCCACTGTACCCCCCAGATCCTGGTCAGCAGTACGACCCCCTCGTCTATTATTCCCCATTGTGTAGGTTTGCGTTTGACTTTTCCTTCCTAAGTGCAGTACTTTGCCCTCATTTTACTGACTTTTCTCTTGTTGCTTTCAGACTGATTCTCCAATTTGTCAAGGTTGTCTTGCCCTCCAGAGTGCTTGTAAATGGAGCATAGCAGCCCCTAGGCACTAGGCAGTGCAATCTCATGGGTTAGACACCAGACTGGAACTCAGCAGAGCTCTGTTCTAGTCCCTGTTCTCCCACTAACCTGAGGCGTAACCTTGGATATGTTGCTTCCCCTCTCACTCTGTCTGACTTGCCTTTGTGGCAGGGCCTGCCTCTTACTCTGTGTTTGTCCAGCTCCCAGCACACGGGGGCCCTGATCTAGCTTTTGGGGCCTCTAAGAGCTCACCTAATAATTAATGAGGATGGTTTGAATAGCACACAGGAAACAGCAGTGCTTGAAAGCTGCCCCCAGCTGATGGCTGTTCAGTGGCCTAAGTGAGACATTGGCCTCAGTCCAGTTCTTGGGGGACTTTACAGATTCTATGACCATTTGTCGGCCATCTCAGCAGAGGTGCCAAGGAATGAATGGGCCACGGAGCCTGAACTCCCCTCTCATGCATTTCCCCCTGGGTCAGACTCCCCAGAACGGGGGAGCTTTTACTTTAGTTTATTTGCATTATGGTAGCACGTAATGGCTGTAGTCAGGGAAGAGGAGTCCGCTGCACAAAAATGAGTCACAAGAAGATGGTCCCTTCTCCAAAGAGCTCACAGTCTGGGTGGGACACAAGACAGGGCAGGTGCACGGAACAGACCCATGGAGGAGAAGGTGACAGTGGAATGGGTGCGTCTTGCAGAGCAGACAGTGGTTGCAGCCTGGCACTACCTTACACGTGCATGGGGGAAGTTTGTGCTCCAGCTGCCTTTGCTGGACCTGGTTTAGGGACAGCTAAAAGCTCCATCTGCCATGGGTGTCAGGCACCAGCATGAACCTCCTTTCGAAATGGGGAACTTGGAGAGGATGCTCTTGGAGTCATCAAGTATTTGGGAGGAGCATACCCCTGGCAGTAACAAAAGCAAGGGTTGTGGACTGAAGGCACATGCCTGGGACATCAAGGAGTGCTGGGGATTGTGTGACAGATGTGGGAAAGCGGGGACATGAAGTGACTCACTAATGCTGGAGGAGATTAACTGTTATAGCAGCGCTTTTCTCTCTGTGTCTCCCCCTACCCCAGCCTACAGAAACGGCACAATTGTACCTCTCAGCACATTTTGCCTGGCCTAGATTTAAATTTCTGTGTCTAGCTCCCGGGGGACCTTGGGCAACATCTGGAAGAGGAGGCCATTAGACGGACTGATGGAAGTCGGTGGAGGTGAAGTTTGTCTCACAAGCTTATGTTTCAGGGTTTGCTAGGTCTCCCGAAAGAGTCGGGTGTTGTTCAAAATTCCAGCTAGAAATGTGCTCCCTTGGAGAGAGGAGGTTGGTCATCTTAAGCCATAGAGATAGGATCCTCCCCCATCACTTGCATCATAGCACACGGTCACTTCCCCTCCACCCCATCTACAAGTAGGTACATCCCTCCACACAGTGCTGATGAACTACAGCTGGTCAAGAATATATTGATGAAACATTTTTTTAATTGGAAATGACAATTCATCACACCTGGAATTTTTCCCAGCAAAGGGTTGGGTTGGAAGGTTTCTCAGGTCCAGGATGGAATTTCTGCTCAAAATCTGAGAGAGAAAGAGAGAGGCCAACAACCCCATAGTTAGCACTCCCTGGGGATGTGGGGAGTGCCGTAATTCACGTCTCTCACATCTCAGGTGAGTTTCCTAACGGATAGAGTCAGTGACTCTTGTCGGAGCTGTGATTTCTATAATGTGCAACTAACGTATTGAGAGGCCTGCCGAGACTGACTCTGTAGCCTGGGGTTTACTGCCCTCTCCTGGGATGTGGGAGACCTCGATTCAACACCTTCCTGCAAAGCAGGGACTTGAACCTGCGTCTATCACATCCCCGGTGAGTGTTCTGGGCTCTCTTGCTCTCCCTCATTGTTTGTGAAAAATTTCAGAAGGTCTCAGTTTCTTCTTAATGTGGAACTGAACATTTTTTTGAAATCTCGACTGTTTGCAGGATGGGGAAACCATTTTCCACCTCGCTCTGCTCCTCACAGCATACTGGGGCACTGTGGTCGGTGCTGACAGAGGGACGAGCTCCTCCTACTGAAAAAACGAACCCATGGTCTATCTCTTGAGAAGTTACCCATGCATCTCCTGGTGAAGCCCACCTCCATCTTATGAAACAACCTCACCTCCTCAGTACAGAGCACACTTTTTTTCTGCAGTGTTGTTCCAGAGGGCGAGAGTCCATTCAATGGCTTGTGGGTTACTTGACTTCCACCAGCTGGAGCTTTGACTTCATTCAAGGACAAATCAGACATCACAGAGCAAACTTTCAAGTAGGCCTGCGCTGGGTTAGGAATCCCATCGTCAAAGAAATCTCCTAATGGAAAACGAAGAAATACTTTTTGAGCCAATTCAAAGTTGTGCTTCCCGCTAATGTAAAATGAAGGCTCACAATTAAAACACAGGGTTCAGAGTAGCAGCCGTGTCAGTCTGTATTCGCAAAGAGAACAGGAGGACTTGTGGCACCTTAGAGACTAACACATTTATCTGAGCATAAGCTGTAGCTCACGAAAGCTTATGCTCAAACAAATTTGTTTGTCTCTAAGGTGCCACAAGTCCTCCTGTTCTTTTTAATTAAAACACAGAGGACCATTTCTGAGTGAAAACAAGCCCCTTTCAAAAACTCAGCATGGGCACTATTTTGCTGAAATGACTCTTTGGTATGAAATGAGATCCATCTCCAAGCTGAAAGGGAATGCCAAAAGCTTCAAATCTGGCTTCAAATTCTTTGCACAGTAGAAGAGCACGATGAGCTGTGAATTCTTTGCACAGTCCCTACTTTCACCAGTCTGGAGTTCATTTGCCGTGAAGTGTTGGAAATAGAATGAATCTCAAAACCATTTTTGTATTTCAAAATTACAAAATAAAATGACAGCTAGGCTTGGCAGATTGTTTTAATAATTTTGACAGATAGCGACGTTTATGTTAAGCCTTTCCCCTCTATTTTTATCGATTTAAATGTTCACAGTCTCTTTGGGCTTCAGTTTCCCCATCTATAAAATAGGCACAAGACTTCCCTTCCCCCACACTTTTTCTGATTAGGCTTCAAGATCTTCTGGGCAGGGACTGCCTATTGCTATGTGTATGTGCAGGGCCTAGCACAGGGATCCCCAGACTTTTTCAGTCACGCTCCCCTGCTTACCCGGTCTGTGTCCCCCCTCCCCGGGAGCTGCAGTGGGGAGGCCAGGCTGGGAGTGGGTGCAGAGCTGTGGTTGGGAGCCAGGGCCAGGACCAGGGGCGGAGCCTTGGCCACCATCGGGAGCTGGGAACTGTGGCCAGGAGTGGGGCCGTCGTCGGGGGTGGGGCTCGGAGCTGCGGCTGGGGCCACGGTGAGGAGCGGGAGCAGGGACTAGGATTGGGGCTGGGGGCGGGGCCTGGAGTGGAACTGGGGGCAGAGTGGGCTGGGTGGCACTTCTTCCCCACCCTCTATGGGGGCTGGCCTGAGCCCTGCCGTGCCCCCCTGAGCATTCCTCCGTGCCCCCCTAGGGCAGCATGCCCCACAGTTTGGGGACCACTGGCCAAGCACAACTGAGGCACAACCGAGATTGGAACCCCAACATGCCACTGTAATAGCAATATTGTTTTACAAGTTCTGCCTCATTGCAAGTTATGCTGTCACGGCTGCTCTGCATATGGATGCAATGAACTGAATCAAACATACAGCACCTCTATGGAACACAGTGTGTCTCTGTCGATTTATTTCATTTTTAGGGCTGGGATCAGGGAAGAGAAGCCATGAAATCCTCTCAGCAGGAAAGCTCGCAGATCTGATCATTTTCTTCCCTGAATTACACATTCTGCCCCCGAGATCTCAGCAGAAGCAAAAGGAACCACTTGCTATCAGGATGTGGGGTAACTTGGTGTGAAAATTATTGTAAATGATTATGGCTGCTAAGGGAGAGAGCCAGGACTGGTCATGCTATTTATTAGATCTAAGGATCAGGACAGATCTGCATGGAATGGTCAAATCTTTGCACCATGCTGTCGGTAGATGCCTTAAAAGGGGTATTTTATCCTCCTTTATACTGCAGCTTGTGCATTTTCTCCTGTGCTCTACCCATGCGGAACTCAATGAACTCATGTAATCATAGCACGTCGAGATGGATGAGACCTCTGGCCTCATCTGCGCCTTTCCCTAGGACCGGTGCAGACTTGGTCAGTATTGCTCATTTGCTACCGATTGGTCCAGTCTGGTTCTAAATGCCCCAAGTAATGGGATTAGCAAAACCTCCCCTATTCGCCTAAACCAAAGCTGGGGGAAACTGGCATGTATTCAAGCTGCCTTTCTGCTCCAGTGAAAGCAGCTTTATTCCCTAGCCCCCAGAGACTCAGCAAATTTAATAGGGGGCTTGACATCTTAAGGAAGAGACAGTCATGGGGGTATGGACATGGGCTGTGCTGAGTTTTTCATCTGACAGTTAGCTGGCTTTTTCTCAAGATCACACCCTTAAGTATCGGTAGCAATCCTGAGGGAGTGCAAGGTCACTCCCCTGGCCGCACATCACTGTGCAGACTCCGGCTGAGTTAGAGCACAGTAAGAGATGGCCTGTAGGATGGCTTTCCTATGGGGAATCACTGTTGCTTGCAGTCTAGAGGGCAGATCCTTGGAAGTGACCTGAGTGGGCTCTGGATCAGACCCTGGATGCACATAAGAATTGAGCCCTATCAAAGTTCCTGGACTGATACTCAGAGTTTCCCCTGATGGTTCATTTTCCCCTCTTGCTTCTGGGGCCAGTTTAGGTTTTATTTCACCAACTTTCCAAGGGATTCTTGTAAACCTGGTTACCAAATTTGATTGCCAAGCTATATCCATGGCGGCAAACCTGAGCAAGAGCAGATCAGCACATTCTAAAAAAATTTTTCAGGCTGATGTTCATTTTACGGTGGAAGCCAGACTCAAGGGGACACCTTACAACACACAACTCCTCCTCCCGCGAAAGGGGGATACCTTGGGTTTATAGCCCCCTTCATTCCCCCCCTTCTTTAAAAGGCCTGATTTTTTTCCCCTGCTTCTTTTCACCAAGCCATTCCCCAGACTTCAATTCAAACACACAGTATCTGGGGGAAGTTCTCTGGCCCGTGTTATACAGAAGGTCAGACAGGATGATCATAATGGTCCCTTCTGGCTTTGGAGTCTATGAATCTATAAGGCACCATGTCAATACAAAACACCTCACAGTTTGTTCCCATCAAGCTGTGCAGCAGGGAGACCGGGAACGGATCCAGCCTGTGGGTATCGCAGGCCTGTGGGTATAGCGGCTCTCACCTGGCCTGAGTTTGCCCCAGCGTTACCAAGACGCTGCAGCTTGCCCTGTGCACCACGAGGTGTCGCTGTTGCTTCACACCGTTCTGTCCCGAGGGACATCCCCTGCAGGTGGGCAGCGGCTTGCTCTGCACTGCAGGTTGGACTGAGGTGTTCACAGCGTTAACCCTGTCCATCCACAACCCCCAGCGTGGGGCTCCTATCGAAACTGGGGGACAACGTGTTCATGGTGCAAACCACAGCTCAGAGAGAGTGACTTGTGGCCTCCATCTCTCCCCCGTTCACCATTGTGCGGGCCCCTCCTCCTCTCCGTTGGCTGGACCTGCTCCCCATTCCTATCCGCCCGGCCCACCCGGCCCCCCGCTGCACCTACAGCAATTGGCATGTGCACCAGCCGGTAGGAAGGCATTAAAAGATACCCTGCTCCTTTCCATGCCACTGAGCTCCTGGAGACCTGTCAGAGCGGCCAGCACCCTGCAAACAGCCCGCTCTCCGCAGGCCACCAGCAGCAAGTGCTCTGACCAGCCCTGCTTGGGGACCTCTGTTCTACCCTCTGGGCATGGCACCACCCTCAGAGGTATCTCAGCATGACTGAGTGCCCCAGAGGGCCAGGCGCCTATCCTTGCCATTGAGCATGGCCTGCTGTCTTACCTGAGTTCATCGTGCTCTTCTCCCTGTCAAAGGCAGCCCCAGGGGAGCTCTCCTGTGGGATGGTCTGGAGGGCGGAGAGCGGGATGTCGGCATCTGTGTTCATCAGCCAGGTAGACTCCGTCTCTTTGGTCCAGTTCTCCCGGTACCTCGGCTCCAGGCCGTCCGTCCGGCTGCCCCCACAGCCCATGGCAGGGGCTGACTGGCGTCACTGATGGCACGTCAGGCAAGCGTCTCGGAGTATGGCAGGTCCCTCAGCCACCCTTTGTGAGCATCTTCCTGCCTCCCGGGTGTCACGCTAGTGGGATCCAGCCCCTCCTTCAGCCAGAGTTATTCCCACCCAACTCTCTTGGGTAGTTCCCTCCCCTGCAACTGCAGTCAAGGGAAGAGCCACCCCTGGGTGTGTTAGCTGCTGTGAAATGGGGTGGCCGGACTGCCGACCAGGGGTTAGGGTCCTTCAGCTGGTCTATGAGTTGGAGTAAGGCACCTGAAAGGGGTAAATAAAAGAGATAGGCATTGTCTTTGTCATTCAACCACTCAGTTCATTGGAGACCAGAAAAACATTAACCACAATGTAGCCCTGGCTGGCCCTATTGCTGGGAAGCTTCTCTATGAAATAAATGTGCAGTTTGGGGCTGTCCTAGCAGATCTGAAGAGCTGCAGTTACTGAACCCAGCAGGCACTGAGCTGCTGCAGCTGGCAAATTACTAATGGCGGAGCCGGGGGGAGGGAATAATAAACCTAGAGGGTTTTAGAATCTCTGTCCACTTTATCCCTATTTCCCTGTCGTGCACGAGGGCACCCATGCAATCAAGGCACCCGCAAATCTCTATTAGATCTGGGGTTGCTATTTATTAGGAAGTATCTACTTACAGAATTGGACCCTTCTCCTGGTTTCCGAATCACCCCTGAGCAGCCCGTGACATTTACGATTTTTCTGCCTCCAGGCACTGCCGAAATCCAAATTAATAATTAACCTGCAGCATCCAGGAGGCGGTGCTACCCCATTGCTTTGCCTGTACGTTTTCAGTGGGGATGGGCTAAGCCTTCTAAATGTAGCTCTAAGCCCATTCCAGAGTTTGACTTGGTTTGTGTTTCACTACGGAAAGGCTGCAAAAAGGAGCAGAGGGGAGAGACCAGTGAAAATATACAGTGAGAACTGGAGTGGAAGCAGATAATGATTGAAAGAGAGATCCTAAGACTTTGATAAAGAGCTGGTGGGAGAGAAAGAAATCAAGTGCGGGGAAAGGAACAGAGAGTGAAAGCAAATCCAGAGCGAGCATGTGAAGAATGGAGCCGAGAGGAATATTCAAAGAAGAAATGAGTGCAGACAACATACAGTGCGGAGAGGAAGCAGCAGGTGCCAGCCAAACCTTGCAGGGAACAGTCTATTCCAAGTCCATACCCCAGAACTCCTTCAGCTAGAGACTCCTTTTTAGGTGACAATGGGGGATTGGTTTAAATTGCAGGGGAGAAAAAGGTTTGGGACTCAAACTAGCTTGGAGAATCTTCAAACAATTAGTCTGAGAGCTTTGTAGAACTGAAAGCTCGTCTCTCCCTAGCTCCCATCTCTGTGGCTTCATTAGTCATTTAGCGCTTTACAAGACGAAGCGTGGTCCCTGCCCCAAAGAGATCACCGTCAAAGGCCCCCATCCTAACATGGGAGCCTCCCAAGTGACTTTATTATTCAGAGTACAGTAACACCTTGAGGCTCCAACCAAGATTGCACCAGGCACTGTACAGACCTTACCAAGAGACTCTCTCTATCCTGGAAAGCTGACTGTTAGAATCGAGGTGGAAGGGGAAACAGATGGGAAGCCCGTTGCTCCAGGTCACTCAGCGGGTCAATGGCAAAGCTGGGATTAGAACCCAGGTCTTGAGTTCCAGTCCACTGGCCTACCGGCTAGTAAAGCCTGCCTGGAGTAGGACGGTACATGGACACCAGTCCACGGCAGTGAGCATCCCCCTGAAGGCAGACTTGGAGCTGAGGAGATGCAATGGGAAATCCACAGGGACTCATTCAAATGGGTTTCGAGCTTTTCAGGGCAGGGACTGTGTTTTTACAGCGTGTCTGCACATCGCTTAGTAGCACATGGAGCCCGGAGCCCTGATTGGTGCTGCTGTAACGCAGATAAACAGCAGTAACAGTGTGTGTGGTGTGTGTGCAACACCCCCCTCCCCCACCCCAGGAATCGGAAAGTTCAGAGATCCTGAGGACTTTGTCAGTGTCTAGCAAACCAGCAAAGCCTTGAGATTCTGCACCAGTCCCCTTGGGGCAGCCCAGCTGAGCAGAGGCAGTGCCAACAAACCAACCCCTCCATTCTCCCCGCTCGCTCCCAGGAAGAAACTCTGCCTGCTGCAGTAATCCCTGGCCGGAGGGCGTGGTCGTGTTAAGGACAATTTTTCTCTCACCTTATCGGTGCTGGAGAAGCTGCTTCTCTGGTTCCGTTCCCTGCTTCTCTCCAGCCACAGCGGCAGCTGCTTTGTGCTCTGCCCCTCCTGTTCGCTCCTGCATCTCCTCAAGGCCTCGGTGCTCCACGCCTCAGCAGCCCCCTGCGCTGGGATCAGTGTGCGGCACCAGCTGGAGGAGGTGCTGAAGCGGGACCCAGTGACGTCTGCTCTAGCATCAGTCAAGGAGCAGCATGTGCAGAGTGAGCCATTGGTTTGTAGTGCCTCACTCTAGATGGGTCAATCCAGCCGTTGTGAAATACTAAGAAACCAGGAGACGTTAGTGGAAGACTCGGATATGAGACGCTGCGATGAATGCCTAGGTCTGCAGAAAATGCTTTGTGATCTTTTCTTCCCTTCTTGGATCTAATCTACTGCAGTGTTGCTGTATCTTGTTCAAAAGCTGCTAGGGTTCATCCCAGAGGGGGCTGCATTGCAGTGATGGATAAAGTGATTTTATATATTAGCTGGTTAGCTGCTTGGGACTGGGACTGGGCCCTGCTTGGCCCCTTTGGGAATTGCTGCAGTACGGATGTTAAACAATCAATATGCACATTTCAGCACAGCCCCAGAAGTGAGGCAGGTGCTTAACGTCTGCAGAGATGAAGCTCCCGTCCGGCATTCTCAGGCCTAGATTCTACCTGTGCTCACCCCCAGGCATGGTGCCAGTTACCGTTACTACTGTCTGTACTGAGCGTTACTAGTGAAAACACTGAGCACCTGCAGGATCAAGCCCTAATTTCAGATGGGATTGAACCACGAATTCCCAGACTGGATCAGACCCAAGCTCCACCTAGGCCAGGGTCCTCCACTCCGACAAGGGGCAGCACCAGCTGATCTATCAGGCTGTTATCCTCTTTTGTGGACCAGCCACTAGAGGAAGACCCAACTGAGCCAGTGGGTTCCATTTATACGCAGGAGAAAGCAGTGCTGCCCACAGCCATATGCCCGTTAAACCCAGGGTGTATCCCAGAGCGGGGGCAAAAGGGGCAGTTTGTTCCAGGCCCCCTGTCTGAGAGGCTCCGCAAAGCTGAGTGGCATTGCAATGTGGCGTTGCAGCCTGGCACACAAGGATGCAGGGCCACTGAGTGAAATCTGATCCGGCAGTGACCCTTGACAGCATTGCTGACAAGAAGCACAAAACCCCAAGTACAGAATTGGGAAGGAGCAGGCCATGTGTTGGTTCCAGCAGAAGTATGATGGCATCATCCTTCCTGGCAAATGAGCAGTTCCAGTTACCAAAAATGCTAATAAAATTTTCTAACATTTAAAAAACACAATGACCAAGACACAACTCACTCCTACCTCCCACCAATGGGACTCTGAAAGAGCTATCTCCCTATTAGGCACATGGGTTACACAGTGTCCCCGGAGAAAGGGCTGGAGACCCATCACTTGGGACGTTTAACATCAGACAGGACAGAACTCTGGAGATTTGGCTGAGGACCATTTTCTGGTCTGTTAGTCCAGCACCTCACACAATCGGGTCCAGGGGGGGAGGCCGGTGGAGAGGGGACATGGGCCTGGGGCTACTCTCAGGCCGCCCCACCCCGGGCAGGTGGAGTGTCTGCAGCTCCCCAGGCTGCTCTTACCTAGGCCAGGCTCCAGCTTCCAGCCTGGCCGGGGCCTTTGGAGGTGGGGGAAGAGGAGGGGCAGGGGGTTATCCCAGGGTGAAAAGTGGATGGGCCAGGCCTGTCCCTTTTCAAAAAGTGGGAGGATTGGGGGCCCTTGGGGAGGGTAATTCATCACTGGGGCAGCTCACCTAGGGACATGGTGGTTTCTCCATCATGCAGAGTCTGTAACTCAGGCCTGGGTGTCTCTTTCTAACAGATCTGCTCTAGCTCATCCAGAAGCTCTGGGCCTGATGCAGGAATTGCTGGATGAGATGTGATGGCCTGTGCTCTAAGGAGATCAGACTACTCAGCATACTGCTCCCCTCTGGCCTTACACATCTATCAGTCTGGACCTGTGTGAGCAGGAGGAAGTTTCAGCAAAACGCCCTCAGGAAGCCCAGATCCTGGGCCCGATTCGAGGCCAGTGAAACTCCACCAGCTGGACGGGAGCTGGAACATGGATGGCTCTGGCCCAGGGAGTTGAAATGCCTACAGGACCCATGCAGCCAAAGGAAATCCTTCACATCAGGAGCTGTCGCTTGTATGCCAGGGACCCCCAGAGTCCCCAGTTGAGATCAGGGCCCGCTGGGCTGGGCAAACACAGAGCAAGAGACAGGTAGGGAGCAGCCTGGCTCAGGGGCTAAGTGGATGTGAGGCAAAAAGCAAAGCCAGGGAACAGGGGAAGGCGGAACAAGGCCATAGCCAGATTTCCACCCTCAAACCCCCCACACGCTGCATTCCCTCTCCTTCCCTCCCTCCACCATTCAGCCCCGGGCCCTTCCCTGGCCATGTGGCTCTAAGCTAGGGGGCTGAGGGTGGATTGCACCCTCAGCAAGTTTGCAGATGACACGAAACTGGGAGGAGAGGTAGATACGCTGGAGGGTAGGGATAGGATACAGAGGGACCTAGACAAATTAGAGCTTTGGGCCAAAAGAAATCTGATGAGGTTCAACAAGGACAAGTGCAGAGTCCTGCACTTAGGACGGAAGAATCCCATGCACCGCTACAGACTGCCACTGCTGATTTCTTCTCACACATAGGTAACCACCAGATGTCACTGGTAATTCAAGCAGTGTGTGTAAGGTATTTGTTTGTTTAATTTTGTGTTGTAAAAGCATTTGTACACCTCCTTTGCACCCTGACATAACTTTCTCGCCATCAGAGAAAGAACGTAAAGTATTTTGAGGATCAAGACCCAGTTCATGGAGGTCTTTCCAAATTTATTGTGTAATATCTTCAGTGATGAGGCCATGCAATTGGGCCTCCAATAAGTCTCTCCTTGGTTTTGCCATCAGTGGAATAGTATAAAACAGTGGACACATTTTCTACGTTCACAGCAACCCTTGTCAAGTTCTTCTGCCTGAAACGTGATATTACCTTGCCACTTTTCTGTGTATCTTCAACAGTGACTTTCAAAAGCATCCTCTTCACTGCATCAATCATTTCATTCTGAATTGCAGCAGAAGTGTACTTTGCATTTTTCAGAGTGGTTTTCAGAGCATCCTTGAATTTTGGATCTTGTCCCGCAGTAGACTTAAGTAGGTTGATGAGAATTCCTGAGGAACTGTTCAGAGTAAGATCTAAATCCTTGGTGTTTATGGTACCTTGATCTCCTCTCAGAGGCAATTCATTGATTATCACAGCAAACTGGAGAATTTTTGCCAAGGTTTTTAAATAGTACCTGTTTCTTTCAATTTGAGGGCATGACACCAAAGCAGGAATAGTGGCACCTGAAAAAGGAAGTTATGATGAAATAACTATCAGAATCAAATTCATAATTCAGTAACTTCCCTGGGCAAACGAATACTGAAATCATAAAACTAGTACATTTTTTGTATGCTGGAGCTTTCCTCAAGATAAGGGATTTATTATAGGCTGAAGAGCCTGTTTTTAAAAGGTTTCAGAGTGGTAGCCATGTTAGTCTGTATCAGCAAAAAGAACGAGGAGTATTTCTGGCACCTGAGAGACTAACAAATTTGTTAGTCTCTAAAGTGCCACAAGTACTCCTCGTTTTTTGTTTTTAAAAGGTTCCCCCCCCCCTTTTGCTCTCCTGTTCTCCTCTCCTCCCCCTTCCCCCCCCCATGGCATGATGACTCATGGTTATGGAGGTGTGGAAAATTCCCCCCTTAGTTTTCCACAACTAGGCTTTTCTTATCAGCTTCAAGTTGCTTCAATGTTTTCCCATTAACTTTAATGGTCCACCATTGTCTTTTCCAGGTTGTACTTGGAGGTACTTGGAGCTAGTCTCTGGCTGGGGAGGTGGCCCCTCCCGGTCTGATTGTTTCAGCTCTTGGTAGTCAGGTGGAGCTCAATGTTGCAGCACAAATTATGCACACATTTGTATACAGACAAAGTCTCAAAGGGGGAGTGTGAATACCAGCCTCTCGCACCCCCTTCCTTCTGGTTAACAACAGCTATAGGGGAGGATGCCCGGGAGCCTGCACAGATGATGATACACACAGCTTGAATACGTTACAGAGTAGCAGCTGTGTTAGTCTGTATTCGCAAAAAGAAAAGGAGGACTTGTGGCACCTTAGAGACTAGCAAATTTATCTGAGCATAAGCTGTAGCTCACGAAAGCTTATGCTCAAATAAATTTGTTAGTCTCTAAGGTGCCACAAGTCCTCCTTTTCTTCTTACAGCTTGAATAGAGACTAGGACTAAGATTCACATCTGCAGCCTCCACCTACTGTGGGCATTCCAGGTGTATAACACTGACCTTGCTCTTTGGTGATTTCCATACAAGACTCCAAATGAGAGGACAAATGGTTCTTGACAATTTGTTTAATATAAAGATTAAAAAACCTTATTTTGTTATAAAAAAATAATCTCCCCGACTTTACGGATCCCTGGCTCTGTTTTATGAAAAAAGCTTTTCCCACTTGGGAGCCATACCTTGTCACTGCTGCTGAATTAATTTAGATTTGGCCCGTGTAGTCAAGGTGTCAACATAACCCAGTCATGGTCCAACATTAAACCATCTTAAACAAGGTCTGGGGTTTGGTACACTGAGACCTCAGCCTGCTTAGCACCATGGCAAACACACTAGAAAATTCAGACCAAAGGTTATAAATTGATTGACTGAAACACACAAAGGGAAAGAGTCAAAATGAGATAAAGAGCGTTGAAACTCAGATAGATGTGTTCATGCAAAACAAACAATCAAAACCCGTCCAAGTCCTTTTTTTTCTTTTCTTTTTGAGGCAGTGAATATTGGTTAAACAGCCCTTCCTGATGGGGGAGAAAGGGATTAGTTCTAATGTTCCCATCTGAATGGGGAATGATAGTCACTTTCCTGCCTTACACAAAACCTGGTACACAGCTCTGTATAGCTAAAAAGTTTGGTTTTTTTCACCAACAGAAGTTGGTCCAATAAAGATGTTACCTCACCCACCTTGTCTCTCTTAGACCAAACAGGCAAACACTGACACAGACAGGAAAGAAGAGGTGGGGGGAATACGGCTTTTCTGGATGTTCTCAGGATAGAGGGTGGCTGGTCAGTCACGGGCAGACGCTTTGGGCTGGCAGGCAGGTCACCATGACAGCTGTTGTTCTGGACTTCAGCTCCCCTCCCCAGTCAGAGACATCAGCTGGTCAGTCTGATCAGGTCCTTCTCATTCACTGATCCTTCTCAGGCCAGGCCGA